ATGGTGCATAGTTAGTATAAACTTCAAGAAGTGCATGGATGTAAAGTTTCCAATTCTGCCCCTGTTATGATCGTGCCTCTTTTTGCGAAATTTTGAGATTTTAATGGCCTGTATATGATGTTTATATGTTGTATAGGTGGTGTATAAAGTTTCATCGAAAAATATTGAGGTTTGATTGGTCAAATGGATTAATCTCGCAAAGCTAGCAAACCTGGAAAAATTTCCCCGTAATGCTCAGACAGCCTTCTTGTTTCGTCCAAAACTCTATGCTCCGACGTCGAAATCAAGTGCCATCAATGGAATTTGAAACTAGACATTCCCAACTTTCCAACGGTATAAAATGTAACCCCTAATTCCACCCAAGTATCCCGTACCAACCGTAAAGATGAGTGTCCTGTTTCTCTGTTTTCCTGGAACGAAGTTCAGAAGCTGCAACTTGAGGCTCAAATTTGAGCTAGTTGTGTGCTGAATTTCAAAATGATTTCTTCTGTTTTATGAATGTATTTTCCAATTCCACTAACCATGATCAATTCCGAGTTGATTTGAGTGATTTGTGATCAGAATACGAAACCTGCCCTATTCTTGAAAACCCTAAATTTTGGGCAGAATTGGTGCTAGACTTGGTGTGGACTTGCCAATTGAATTTCTTGGAGTTAAAACACTTACCAAATATACCATGAATATTCCTTAGGTTTTTCCTACACAAATGAACCATGTTTGAAGGATTTTCCTTGGCCAAATGTTTGGAATGGAAAACAAAAAGCTCAAGGCAGTTTTGCCTTAGGATTTTTTGAAACTTTGGTTGTTTGGTTGACTACCTTTCCGAAGGTATTTTTTCATGAAATTTGATAGAGGGATACCCTTTATATAGGAGTATTATATTGCCGAATTTGGTACCAATCCAAGTCCATTTCACTGCTCGACTAAATTACCAAAGTTCATGACTCGAGTTTGGAAACCCTTGTTTCACAAGGGAATTTTGGTAACTTTGAATTGCCATATCTTAGTGCTCAAAACTCCGTTTCTCGTTGCGCTTATTTTGTTGTAAACTTGGATTGCGACTCTAATAGTGTTCTAAATTTCAAAGGCTAGTTCCAATCAAGTGAATTTTGCCGAATTTTCAAAGTTGGCCAAAAATCAACTTAAATCTACCTTATGAACCAGAACAGCGACTTTGAACTCATTTTTGAATGTTTTTCATTTGGAATCTTAGAAAAGTGTATTCTAGGAATTTTTAGTAAGGAAAAGGTTTCCAACGGTACCAAGTTTTCCAATTTTCGAAATGTGAAATGTGAGATAAGATTTTTCAAAATATCATATCAAAACTGAAATTTTTCGAATTTCAAGGAAATGGAGTTTTTCAAATATTTCTTATTCTTTCGATAGTACTTGAACGTTTATGCTTGATTTCCAAGATAAAAAAACTCAATTGCTCTTGTACTTTAAGAACTCCACTTGAACCTCGATTTACAAGTAATTGAGGTTTATTTTCATGAAATTTCCCTAGATTGTACTAGTGCACAATCTTCCTTGATAATTGGGATGTGTGAATGATAATTCACTATTATTTGCTCAGGTGCACATAAGGACATTCAAGAGGATCCCACAGTGGAAGCTTGAACCTCCAAGTGACACTTTTGCTATTGACTCACAGTTAGTGTCAAAGTGTGTGTATTATGTGATATATCTACAAAGTGATAAGTGTTATATAAATTGAGTTTTTGAAACCTTTGAGTCAAGTGTATACTTTATCGCACTCGTCCCCATTTAAACAAAGTGAACTTGAATTCGTGAAATGAAGTGCTTATTTGTTTAAATAACTTGTTGAGTGAATTTATGTGAAGTGTTTAAGTGATTATTTATGCTGTGATTGCATAAGTCATTGGAGTGAACCTCCTCAATACAAAAGTGTAAAAATGAAGGACGCCCAAACTCTCTTATTAGCTAGCGTTGGACTCGAGCCAATATGGGTTTGGTCGAGCTTCTCAGTAAACCATGAGATTTCATAAGCTCGACCTATTGAGAGGTCTTGCTTGGCATATTCGCTGAAGTATCGCCTCATAAATGTATTGCGGACCCGGTGTGGTATGTAAGGTTGAGAAGGGAAAGTGTAAGTGATGTTTCTACGAATTAAACATACCCGGTTGACGGAGTGTCAACGCGTGGAGATTCGTGATCGTGCAAGTGAAAAATAGCTCCTGAGAGCTCCCATATCCTTGAATTGTTTCTATTTACTTTTCAGTAAAGTGCTCCTCATTGAATGGTTATTGTTTTAAATTGATTAATTTGGGAGTGTTACTTGAACTACGTGCTTGCATGTGTGTTCTTGGCCTCACGAGCGTTTTGCTCACCCTATAGATTTGTTTTCCTTAACAGGAGTGGACATCCCTTTTGTGATATTTTGTAATAGGGCCCCAGTGTTAGTGGCCAAGTATTATGGCTACGAAAAATTTTGGTATTTGGGATGTATTTTGGAAACCCATCGTAAGGATTGAATAATGGTTATGTGTAGTTAATTTTGAAAACTTCCGCACTATTTGCAATTACTTTATCTGGTTGTAATTTAGTGTTGTATTAAGCTTGAATGGGAATTTGCGTGAGTCCTGACAAGAGTTGGGCAGGCGTCCTGCGGATATCCTTTAGTTCACCTTAGGAAAAAGTGGGGGCGTCACATATTCTCCCTTTTGATTATCGCAAATTTCTACATATGTTACGACAACGTTACTTTTTTCCTCCTTCCATATTACCTCACTGCTATCTTTTGTTACAACCAATACAGCCTGTGATAATATTCCTAATCTAATCAAATTTACTCCATCCAATATTCCACATTCTTCCCTTACTTCTGTTGTTCTCAGGTGTGACTTAAATTTCCCACTCTGCCCCCTACATCGATTTATTTTGTCCTACCTATTGTAGTCTCTTGTTGCCTCATACCTCCTGCTTCCATCGCATAAATTCCTATTTTTACGATGTCCCCCGTATTTCATTGTATTTGCACCCTCGCTTCCTCCCCTGCCATGTACTTAGGCATGATTTTTAAATGATTTTCCTAATTCCGTGTGCATGGGACTCTTCATGTGCATTTCACCTTGCACGGTCCACTTTGACAATCTTCTAGACACGCGTCGAACTGGAACTGCGTTCCTATGGTAGGCACGATCAAAGGGTGCCTACCATAAACGAATCCTCTCAATTGGATTTTTTTTTGGGCCAAACGAGTCAAGCTCGACTAACTTGACTCTATTGATAGTACTAATCAACACCTTCCACTCACACAAAAAAAAATTGTAGTAACAAGTGAACGTGCAATGCGTGTATTTCTATGCTAATGTATTTAGTAGGATATTAGTAAATTCTTACATTCACTTATAATGTATTACATTCACTTATAATGTACAGCTATTTATTACCGTCTACTACTATTCACCAAACTAAGAGATTTTGCAACGTTTGATCAAAACTAAGAGAACTTATTTTTACAATGAAACATTATTCAAGTTTGCCACTAACTGATATCGTTCGTAACACAAACACAGATGATATTACCAGGTCGAATTTGGGGTAAAAGCAGTTGTCACTGTTCCTAAACTATATATAAACTTATAAAGTTTGCACAAGTTGTAATCCATCACAAATAACTTGTAAAACTTTGTAACAGAAACATTGAAAACCAGCATTATTCATAACAAAACGGACATGTCATTCTGTCAGATTTAGTGTTATTATTTAAATAATATATTCCAAATTTTTATTTTAATTTGTTGGCCAAATCTTAACCTTCAAAAGTTAGGAGCAAATGCTGCTACAACCATCGCTACCCTTATTCCAATATCCAAGTTCCAACCAGGTGTATGGGTAATTAAATAATTGTACTTTTTTAATTTTGTATTGTAACGAGAATATTTCTATAATCTAATCTATCCTAATCTACAGGGTGGGGAGGCTAAAGAGGTTATGTATAAGGAGTTAGTAGGTATAATAACCTGACTAGACCAAAGGGATGATTTGACACCTCTTTTGAATTTTTTTCAAAACAGGTGGGGTTTTGACTTGCAGCCCAAAGAGGAATTTAGTCCTTTTTGGTGGCCACTAAGCTAAATAATTGTATTTGTTGTAGAACAATTTAAAGGCTGAATTAGAAGGAAAAGTAGCCATATTCTCACTCTTCTTGGATTTGGAAATGTTGCACAATGGACTGTGAAGAGAAGATTTTAGATACTTCTATTGTAACAAGAAATGTAATGGGAAAATTAATAAAGTTAAACGCTAGTTAGTTAGCTTTCATAAAGGAATTAACCTTGTCCACTTGTTCCTAAAATTTTTCCCTTATTTATTAAATTATACGTACTTTTAATCACATTTTATTGCACCTTTTCTCTTCTTAAACATTAAAAATACAAATCACTAGATGTAGCCTTTAAAATTTTTGTTTCGTCTCTTCAAACACAATACATCTTGCCTGAATTTCTCTACCTTTTAAAACACTAACTGAATTGCTCAGCTATGACACTTGATTGTTATGAAAATAAATTTGGCCAAAGAAGAAGTCCTGCTGCAATTGTATCTTACTATTCGTGCTAAGCATCTTGATGGAACGAATTGATCAGGCATATGAAGTTTAACAAAGGAGTTTGTTCTTTACCTACAAAAAAAAAAAAAAAAAAAACTTATTTTGTTCTTGAGTGAGTTTATTCCTGTACACTGGGTAGGCCTGTCAATCGGGCCTAATGAGTCAGTCTTTTATAAGCCCAAGTTCAGCTCATTTAATTTATAACACCTTCGGGGTTTGGGCTATGAGATTCGGGTTAATAAATGTAAAACTCATACTCAACTCACATAATATTCGGATTGTGAGCCTTATTCGGCCTTAGCCCAAACTCACTTTTTACTCAATTTCTTAATATAATTGCTATAATTATTAAGTTGTAAAACTAATTTAACATTCACAGAACTACAACATTAAAACTAAACATGAACGAGTAATAATTCTTAAAAAATACATAAATCAAGAATTTTTTCCAATAATATTTATGTCTGATTCGTTCAAAGTACATTAAAAATAATAATAAAACATATAGTCATACACCAATATATTTTCAAATATTAGAACTTTTTCATAACCTTGTGACTTGAATTCAAACATGCCAACATAAAAAGAAATCAATCAATATTATGTCAACACAAAAATTTAATCAACTAATAAACAAAGTTAGAGTTTCAGATATGCATTACCAATATTGGCTCTCAAAAAAGCTGGTAGAGGAGTTGATTTTAACTCTTGGACTGAGAAGAAACTAGTAGAATAAACACTACTTAGTCTAAATATCAACAAGAAATCAAATAATTAAAGAAAATTTTTAAATATTGCTACTAACCTGTAAAATCAGGATCAAATTCTTGTTCAAAATCAATCTCCTTAGGTGCATCTGTAATCTAATCTTGAGCACAAATTAATACTTCAACAATGGAGGGCAACAATGAGCTACGAAACTTGTTCAAAACACGTCTCCCTGTACTGAAAGCACTCTCAAATGCAACTGAAGAAATAGGAATAGCTAAAATGTCTCTTGCCATCATGGATAATACTGGAAACTTGGAAGCATCAGTTCTCCAATAATCCAATACATCAAATAATTCTTCTTCATCGACCTTGCTTGGATAGATCTTTTCCTCCAAATAAGAGTCCAACTCTGTCTTGCTACAAGTGCTATCTTCCTCCTTGTCAAGGCTATAAAAATCATCCATGTAGTTCTTCTTGGCTGCGAAAGAAGTGTTGCTGTAGTTTTTTCGTTTTGTGAAGTTATATCCTGCTGACAACTCACTTCATAAGCCTTTACATGCTCAATGAAAAGATCTTGAAATGTTTTCTGAACACGATCTAACATATATGGTGCTAAATAGCTCTCATAAATCTTGCTAAAGATGGTCTTCAATTTTCTCATTTTAAACCTGGGATCTAAAACAAAAGCAACAGATAGCAAGATATTTGGCTCTTTTTCTAGCCAATATTTCTCAAATTCACCATCATGTTCGCTTCCATGCTTCCAAGAAGTGAACTGTCCGCTATAGAAGTTTCCCTTAATAACATGAACACACGGTAAATTTCATGAAGAAACACATTAACTGTGCAATATTTGCTGCCGGAGAGAATTTTTGTGACAGTGTAAAAAGTTTCTAGAAAATCATAAACAATCCGAGCTTTTTCCCAATCTTCAGCCAATGGAGGATCTTTGAAGTTCAAATCACAAGTTTTAATGCGGTCATAAGCTCTCCTATAATGTAATGCAGATTCAAGCATTAAATATGTTGAGTTCCACCGTGTACATACATCTAGAGATAATATTTTGCCTCTAGAAATACATTCCTGGTCAGCATAGTGTAGAAACTCAAGTTTTCTCTTAGCAAATCCTCTAACATATTTCACTGCATTCCTAACTGATGAGAACATGAAGATTTGCATGGATTCCTTTTATTTTACAAGTCTTCACATTCCAATGATGGTTGATGGTGCAATTGGGTTCAAGAATTATTGAAGATCCAAATTTTTCAAATTTTAATTGGCTTCCAAATCTTGATTGATATCTTGATTGATTTTCAAATCTTGATTGGTTTCCAAATCTTGATTGATATCTTGATTGATTTCCAAATTGAGAGTTAAGTAAGTTGTTTGAATTAGGGAATAAAGGCTAAGGTCATGTTGACCATAGTTAAGCCAATTTGAGTTAGTTAGTTTCCTATTCTGGTTGAATTAGAGTTTTAGGAAAGTAGTTAATTGCTTCCAAATTTGTTTAGGAAATTGTGTCAAATTTAGAAGTCAAGTCAAATAAGAAAACTTGATTTGTTTCCAACTTAGATTAGGTTTTTGAGTCTTGTAAGGCATAGCCAACTTTATTTTAACTATTCAAATATATGATATTGAAGATAATTAATAAAAAGAGAGTTGTCTCCTTTTATGGAATTCCTTGATGGAACTTGAGTTTCTTCTTGAACTGTATCAAGTATTTAGCTTGGATACTTGTGGTGTTCAAGGCAAGATGATCACATCATCTTGTTCTTTCAAGCCAATAACCAATCCACTAGGTTTCTAGAGACGGGTTCTCTTTAGATCTAGCAAGGTAGTTATTGTTCAACCCAATAACCAATCCACTAGGTTTCTAGAGACGGGCTCTCTTTAAGTCTAGCAAGGTAGTTATTATTCTATAACCTGGTCAAAATAGATCCTTCCGCTGCCTGATCGATTCGATTATTCAAAATAAGTTCTTGTTGGGTCGATTTCGTATCATCTGGTATCAGAGTTTCGGCTCTTGATTCAGATTAATATCCTTTTCTTTTCTTTTTTTCTATTTATTTTTCTGCCAAAACCCTAGCCTCCTTTTCATTTAAAAAAAACTAAAAAAAACTTTTTATTCTTATTTTCTTGATTTTATCACTTAAGACTAACCTATCCCGTGATTGATCGAGGTTGAATTTTTTTGGTGTGATTACGTTCTTGAAAACAGGTTTTTCAAGAGTTTTAACTCCCATTAAATTTCTTCCAAGTGAAGTCGTAACCTTGCATCGAGTCGTCAAAAGCAAAAATTAAATAAATAAAAATGACTGTTCACGGTGGTACTGTTCATCGGCACTGTCCACAACTGTAGCAGTACTATTCATCGCCGCTACTGTAGCCGGGTACGTTCATCGTACTGTAGCAGTACTGTACATCCGAAATTTTTTTTTTTCCCATACCTTGTTTTGTTGAATTGGCAAGTTAGAAAAAAAAAAAGGGAAGAAAGAAGGAAAAAAAAAAGCAACCTTGCATTGGATTTGGAAATTGAGAGGGATTTGAAATCTTATTTCCACATTCTTGATTTCTAATTCTTGTTAGTCTTTGTTCATATTATCAGCTGCCAAAATCCAAACAAACACTTAGGAAACCTTCTCAAAATAGCAATTTACTTTCCAAAAGTGAATCCAAGAATCAACCAAACTGAATTTCCAAATTCTAGCCAAGTACAATTGGGTGAAGATATTCTTTGACAAATGGTTTATGTTCACAATCAAGTTGGGTTGGCGACATGCTTCTTGGATTGCATATATCAAGACATTCTCCGAGTTACTCCTTTTTAAACGAGCACTCGATTTGAGGACAAATCATCTTTCAAGAGGAGGGAAACGATGAGAACATGAAGATTTGCATGGATTCCTTTCATTTTACAAGTCTTCACATTCCAATGATGGTTGATGGTGCAATTGGGCTCGAGAATCATTGAAGATCCAAATTTTCTAAATTTTAATTGGCTTCCAAATCTTGATTGATTTTCAAATCTTGATTGGTTTCCAAATCTTGATTGATATCTTGATTGATTTCCAAATCTTGATTAATATCTTGATTGATTTCCAAATTGAGAGTTAAGTAAGTTGTTTGAATTAGGGAATAAAGGCTAAGGTCATGTTGACCATGTTAAGCCAATTTGAGTTAGTTAGTTTCCTATTCTAATTGAATTAGAGTTTTAGGAAAGTAGTTAATTGCTTCCAAATTTGTTTAGGAAATTATGTCAAATTTAGAAGTCAAGTCAAATAAGAAAACTTGATTTGTTTCCAACTTAGATTAGGTTTTTGAGTCTTGTAAGGCATAGCCAACTTTATTTTAACTATTCAAATATATGATATTGAAGATAATTAATAAAAAGAGAGTTGTCTCCTTTTATGGAGTTCCTTGATGGAACTTGAGTTTCTTCTTGAACTGTATCAAGTATTTAGTTTGGATACTTGTGGTGTTCAAGACAAGATGATCACATCATCTTGTTCTTTCAAGCCAATAACCAATCCACTAGGTTTCTAGAGACGGGTTCTCTTTAGATCTAGCAAGGTAGTTATTGTTCAAGCCAATAACCAATCCACTAGGTTTCTAGAGACGGGTTCTCTTTAGGTCTAACAAAGTAGTTATTGTTCTATAACCTGGTCAAAATAGATCCTTCCGCTGCCTGATCGATTCGGTTCTTCAAGATAGGTTCTTGTTGGGTCGAGTTCGTATCACTAACTCTATGAATACAATCATTAATCTCATCCAATCCTTCTTGAACAATCAAATTAAGAACATGACCCCAACAACGAACTTGAATATTGTTCCCATTTACCAATAATGCACCTCTAAATAAATAATGCTCTTGTAGGCAGCTAGCAACAACATCATTAGTTGAAGTATTATCCATAGTTACGGTGCATATCTTATCAATATTCCACTCTAACAGGCAATTGATAATTATATCAAATAGATTCTCCACTAATGCCTTCATTGGAACCAAGACAATATTGCTAATTTTTTTATGTAATTTTCAATGATTATCTATGAAATGAGTAGTCAATGCCATGAAAGGAAGATCTGTCTTAGATGTCCAAGTATTTGTTGTCAAACATACTCTTGGCTTGGATTGCAAAAAAATCTCCTTCAATTTACTTTTTCAAATTCATATATTTTCATACAGTCACTTTTCATTGTGTTTCTAGACACAAAATTAACCTTCGGATTAAGACCCAGAGCATACTTCTAAAATGATTTATCTTCAACAAATTAACTGGCAGCTCTCGATTAATTATAAGCTTTGTTAGATCTCTTAGACTACTCTCTTGATCAAATTGAATGGCAACAAAATTGTGCTTCCAAACAAAGTTACTAGCTTGATTGGAATTACCTTTGGGGAAAGTAAGAAGCATTTGCCCTTTGACAATTGTCCACCCATGGCTCTTTTGTAGGCTACACATATGCCCTCAAATATATGTCGATGCAAATGAGTTGTTCCTCCTTTACTACGGCAGGAGAAAACTTTCTTGCAATAATTGCAAGCACATTCCTCCTCCTTTGGTGGAATCTTGGTGAAATGGGTCCAAACTTTGGACCTCACCTTTACTTCTCTTTTCCTCTTTTCACCTTTATTTGCTTCTTCTCCTTCAGGTTCTTGTTCAACTGCAGTTTTTGTTGCTTCAACATCTGTGATTGTAATAACAATGTCTTCATTGTTTGTATCTGACATCTAATGCCAAAAAAAAGACACTGTTAAGGATGTAAAGTATTTACTGGTACAAATAAGAGGAATAAGAAAGTGATCATTGTATAAAAAATGTTACTATGCAAATACAACAAATTCATACCTCAGAATTTCCCAGTTTTGATTTCTAAGAAAGTGGTTCGAATATGCACAGCAGTCAAAAGATTGACATGATAATTTTTTCCTTGATTGAGAAATAAAAAAAATCAATAAGCAAGTTTAAGTTAAAATAAAATAACTAATTGGGTATCCAACCCAATTCATTGTGAAAACCGGCAAACCTTAATACTAGTTTGCCCACATATCATCAACATAAGTTGGATACCTACCAACAAAAACTGTAGAAAGACAACCACCTAAACTCCCTAAACATACATTCCAGTGAATGCTACCACCGGGGTACTCAGGTAATAGCATGGAATAAAATTGCTCAATTTGGAGATCAAAGGCAACAACAAAAACATCCATGGAATCCCAATCTCTCATAACCCAATGCAAAGCCCTACTAGTGAAAACACCTCTAACTTGATCATCAAAAGCTGTCGCACCCTCAAATGGTGAATCCAAAACCTTCCAAGAATTTGAATTAAGGCTATAAACCATGACTTCTATAGAAGAATTTTCAAGTAAAACTGCCTACACGTAGTCATCAGTAACTTCATTGTACCCAAAACTATATTGATGACTAGTTCCTTCAGGGTTATGTTTAGGGAACCACGGTAAATTTCATTTCTTTTGAGTTAAAGGATTCACAAAAGTCAGACTTAAAGGTGCAGTTCTAGATAGTAATTAGTAAACCTAGATATATTAGACCATTATATGACCCAAAGATTTGACATCCATAAAAATCATAAAAAATAAAAATGAAGGTGCAGTTTATAAGTGCCATAAAAAATAATAAAAATAAAAACTCTAAACAAAAAAGTGAAAAACACATTGGATCGAAGAGATAAAGGATTTGGAGACCAAGATTGAAAGTTACCTTGCCTCTGATTTTGGAGACCAAGATTGAAAGTTGCAATTGGAAAATTCGAAGTGTGAGGCTGTCTGTGGAGGCACGAAGAGTCCGAAAATTGTTGGTCTTTGGTGAAGTGGTTGGCCATGAGAGAAATCAAAGGGTAACCAAACTAAGTGCTTCGACCGGCCTTCGAACTTTGGAGAACTCTCACTTGTGATTTTGATTCTTTGAAGAAATGAAAACGAAGGAAGAATCACTTCGGTCAGTTCGGTGGTCTTGTGGAGCTTTGACTCTTTGTTTCTTGTGAGCTGTGGCCTGTGAGTGAAGACCGAGCTTTGGATTCCGATTCTCTTCTTGAAGACTGAAGAGTCAGACTTCTTCTTGAAGAGACAATGAGGCAAAAAAGGCTTTATAGCCTTTATTGCATAGTTAGTTTTAGTTACTAAATATTATATAATTGATATAGAATTGATTAATTGTATATAATATAATACCTATATATATAATTATATTATCAAAATATAAATATTATAAATATTACCGACATTATATATATATAACATAAATATTATATATAATACCTATATATATAATTATATTATCAAAATATAAATATTATAAATATTACCTATATTATATATAGGGTCGGACCTATATCGGGTTTGAACCTAATAAAGCTCAAACTCGGCTCATATTTGATGTGAGCTTAGTTTTGAGATCCAAGCTCAGTTTGATTCACTGATATTGTAGGTTCATCGGGTTTTTTATCGGCTCGAATGGATTGAATTCGGCATTCGAGCTGACCCGGCCCTATTGACACTCCTAACACTGGGGTCATTTAAGCAATTTTGTTTACTGTTTCAATGAAATTAACGATTAGCTTATGGGTAGCTTGGAACATGAAACCACCATTAAAATAAAATCAAAGGCTTGTTTCAAAATGAGCCTGGTATACTGAAGTCTTGAACCTCTCAAGTCTTGAGCAACCATTGTAATATGGAATGGGTCTAATCCTATTCCCTTGTGCTAGTTGCCCAAATTGTAAAGTGAATTATTGAGCCTTTGCTCAACTTTGTGCACTATCGAAATATAGTTAATAAAATTATTGTTTCGACAAAAAAAAGAAAAAGAAAAATAGAATTCTTGAGCCTCTCATATGACATACCAGGCATCAAAATGTGTCACCACTCACCACACATATATTTCAGTACATTAGGTTGATTATCAGGAGATTATCGTCCAAGTTCTGTAGTTTTCTTTGACCTTCATATTGACAAAACTTAAACTCTAAATTCGAACTTATTAGTTGGGTCAACGTAATTTGATATTAGAGTTACAATACTTTTTAGAATAGTAGTAGTTCATAGGACTTGGTTTTCTGTATGACAAGACAGTTCTGAAATGAATGCCAAGTTTTTTATCAAGTACTACAAGCTCATGAAATCTGACGAGTTTTGAGATGAAGGCCCAAGTTCGCGAACTCATGAATCTTACCAAGTATTATGTGATTAAAAGAGATATAGACCTCGTACTATAGACAAATGAGTTGTAAAATGTACCAAACATATGCAACAAAATTGCAGTTGTCACAGATAAAAATATCCAAATTCAGTACTAAAAGTACCATCAATATTTGACAAAAAAAAAAAAAAAGTACCATCAATAACTTAACCTTCTGATGATTGTTTACATGATCAAAGCGATTATAAACATAACACAATTAACCTTCTGATGATTGTTTACATGATCAAAGCGATTATAAACATAACACAATTAACCTTCTGTTGATTGTTTACATGATCAAAGTGATTATAAACATGACACATATATGGGCACACAGACAAAAGACTATTACAGAGAAGTTTCCACTTCTAGGGCATTATCAGCAAAGCTCATGCCCAAGCTGTTCCAGAATGTCCTGCCTTGTCAAACCAGAGGAAAGTTTCAGAAGCCAGCTTACCCAAGTTTTGAGTGCATAAATGATTTCAAGTAGTTCATCCTAGATTTAAAAATAAAAAAAAAAAGTTCCATTTCTAATGCGGAAAACTAAGTAAATAATTAAGAAAACAGAAACTCAAGCAAGAACTTGCACTTTCAAATATTTCAGGGAAACTACCACAATATCTATCTTATCCAGAGATTTTGGCTCACTGTGTTTGTAACATATGTCCTACCCGATCAGTGTCCTCACTCACACTTTTACTTCTCTCTTTTGGCTCTTTTTTAATCAGTCAACTTTTCATTTTCATTCCAATCTGAGTTTGTGCTGGCCGAGTGTTCTGCATGCAGAGCTCAGTGAGCATCGGCCCAACTGAAAAGAGTAAAGAATAACCCAATTCTAAATTGTTGATTTTTCTGACAAATTTCCCAAAACAAAAATTCTTCAAAATAAAAAATCAACCACCTACAAGAATGAATTACTCATCCGGCAGCTATCCTATATAAGTTTTACTTTTATTATTTTTTATATATTAGCAAAAACCACTTGAGATGATGGGGGGTTTCGGCAGACGCCCACCTGTTTAGCTACCATATCTTGGGTATAATTTTATAATTGCCTGTTCATTAGTGAATTATGTGTACGATGTAATTTACTGCTGATAGACTTGCAAATGGCTGGAGAAGGGATTTCAGATTGAAGATGTTTCTAATTGTGCTAATTCCTTTTCTGTTGGATGCGTAACTAAGTCTACCCAAGAAAGATAAACTGACAAACTTCTTATTCATATGTATAGAGCCAGCAGATCTTTCTTCTTTTTATTTGGTTACCAAACCAAGAGATGTCAAGTTAGAGTGTATGAAGTGCAGCAATAAAACAATAATTTCCTGTTATGATAGGATGTCCTGTGTATTTTTGTAGAAAGATGAAAATGAGAAAGTGAAAGCAAATTAGATGGGGATGGAAATTGGTAGAGATGGTGTAGGTAACAGGAAAACTGGGAACCTGTTCAAGAAGAGCCAAGCAGATTTTTTATGTCCTCCTGCCAGATAAGAGGAAAGAATAGTCAGAAGCATTCTGAAAACAAGCCAGGAAAGCAAGAATTTTCTGAGTTGCTCTGGGCCAATTGCATATTATTTAAATTTCATTTAGTACATTCAGGGAGCCAAGAGCAGAGATAAGAAAAGGACAAATGGGCCTACCTCAAATTGAAGAGGTGAAGTGTGAGGGCCATAACGCTCCACAACCTTTCCTTCTTTGTTAACCAAAAACTTTGTGAAGTTCCATTTGATGGTAGCAATCAACAGACCACTTTTTTCTGCTTTTAAGAACTTATAGAGTGGAGCTGCATTCTTTCCGTTCACATCAATCTGACAACATTCAAAAAAGGGGTGTTTGGTACGTATAGGTCTCTCTTAGCAATGCACTACCACTAACCCATGCATAATGAGAATGGCAATTAGAATCGCAAAACATGGGAACTAGGTTTAAAGCTCAACAGCTGCTTCACAGTGGACATGGATGAGAATGGAGCATGGGTGGACGAACATATTTCACAATCTCAAACCCCATATCAGTTTGAACTTGAAGTTTATCACTACGAGCTATGAGAAAAGTGATTGATGATAAAAAAATCCAACAATACCGTTTATCTGGCCAATTTGTTATTACTTGGATGGTTCTAAGGGTGCTGCACGGGTGAAAATGATCCGCTGCTGTGTGCCAAATAATGGTGCATGATCAGCCCGTGACACCAGGGAGGGCTCTTTTACTCTTTGAGGTTGAAAGTCACAGTACGTTTTGCATTTTTTCTGCTAGCCCATAAGAAGTCCAATCAAATAATTACTAAACAAACTTACCTTTTCAAATATCGGGAATTCAGCTTTAAACCGAGTGCATGCTGCTTCCAGGATTTCCTCATTGGTTCCAGGTTCTTGCCAACCAAATTGATTGCAAGGAAATGCTAAAATTTCAAAACCTGAGAGCAAACTCATTATGTTTCTATAATCACCAAACTAATAAGTAAAATTTGAGAGGACAATATGACCCACCTTGATCTTTGTATTTCTCATACAAAACATTCAGCTCCTTGTAGTTTGAGTCTGTAAAACCACTGAAAAAGAATGATATTTGGCATATTAGATTACTGATTAAACAGAAAATAGTTTTCTGTCAGTGTGATTTAAGCTTGACGAAACCTTTAGAATTGCACTGAATATTGTAACCTTGCACTTTTAAACATGGAAACATGAACTTCGTCCCCCAAAAAAAAAAAAACAAAAAGCCAAAATGAGCATCTTTGCATACCTAACATGGGCTAAAGAGACGCAAATTAACCTCAAGCAGAATGCTTGGTAATCAATTTTGTTACTTTGTTTACAAAATGGTGTTTGTGTAGACAATGCCAATGCAACTACTAGGATTCAAAACACGTTGAATGCGCACTGAAAGCTTGGGAACATTTCTTTACTTGTAAGATGAAGTAATAAATACAAATGAAATGATTCCACAGTTACCCAGAATTTGGTTAAGCATTTTGAATAAGAATTTTTCACAGTTACCTGGAATTTAACTAAGCATTTTGACTAAGAAGTTTTCAGTAACCAAATCAATAACAACTGGACTTAATAAGCAAGTTCTAGCTAATTAGAGGATTGTAGATGTTTTAAGATCACCTTGACAATAAAAGTTCAAACAGAGGTAGTGGATTGATCCTAATGAAGCAAAGGAGACGGAGATGGAGAAAGAGGCAGATACAGAGATAAGAAGTGAAGGATTGAGACAACAGGCTGCTACTACTGGTCAGCGACAAGGACTAGTGGGAGAGTAGGAGCCATGGACTCTCATCCCAAGGGAAATGATATCTCCTATGATATTTGAATGAAACGTTTATAAACTTATGACCACACCTTGCAGAATTTAGTCTTATTCACTCCCTCCTCTCCTCATTTCCAACATAAATTTTTGGGTTGTAGCATAGAAAATGTAACTGGAAAGGGGTAAAGCAATGTCTCAGAGTAACAGGTAGTTGTCTAAATCGTGTTCGGGAAAAATGTGATGTAACTGTGATCAAATATTTGTCCCAAATACTGGTTTCTGATCAAATGTAACATTTGAACTGCAACCAAAAAATGAATTTTGATAGTTAAGAAGAAAAGCCTTGAACAGGAAAAGGCAAAGAAACTTGAATCTTTGAAGATATATTGGCTCACATTGAGTTTCAGCCTGAAGAACCAATAATTTTTCTTATGAAGATATCTTCCCTCAAATTTACGATCTTTACAAGCATTCCACTCTTAATGACATAGTATAGGCAAATATACACTCATTGCAACTAGTTAATTTTGAAGCATAGATGGCAATTTACTTTTAACTTGATACCTTGGATTCCAAAAGCAGACATAGTAGAAAGGCAGCTAAAA